GAGCATTGGCGTAGGAAGTCACCCACTGTCGGGATTAGAGGCACATAAGGAAAATACATGTTTCAGGCTTTGAGGTCAAAATGAAATTTTTATGTACAATCATGTGAACTTAAAAGGTGATCTGCTAATCTCTGAAGTTTAAACAGATACTGTACAGAGTGTTTTAACATACTTAATAACAAAAATTGCTACAGTTAGCCATTCTGAAGGTCATTTTCTTTTGACATCTGTCAAATTACACAATCTTGAATTTTGGTACAAAGCATAATGCTGTCAAACTTAAATAGAAATATTCCAGAATATTTCTGTTGTTTTTTAAGGTAAATGGGCCCCATTTACATTAGTTCTTTGATGTTAAATTCTTTGCTGCACATCAGAGAACAGTTGCTTCTTCCCTGGAGCAAGTTTTCTTTCTTCTCCTTCCCCCACCCTTTGGTTTTTATTTTTTTTAAAGTTTTTCTTTTTTATCTAACTAATTATGGAGGATCAGCTTATGTATGGCCATCATTTAGTTAGTTGCAGGCATTTTGAAAAATGATTACTTCTTAGCTAGTACCCTAACCAGATTTCTTAAATCTACTTTTCTATTAGTGAATATGGGTGTATATATATAACCCTCTAGTCTGAGAGTTATGTTTGCGGGGCTTTTGTTGTTTGTTCATGTTTTGGGGAGACTGAAATCAAATTGAAACACTACTGAATCAGTCAAAAAACTGTAAATCATATATAGATGAACAGGATTTCACTATCCATCCTTAACTCTTACAGATCTATCCACGCTTGCGTTTCAGGAGTTAGTTTTCCTATCAATTTTGTAGCATAATTGAAATCTAAGTCTCCATCCAAAAATCACCATTCCGAAGCTGGAAGATATGCACGTATTTGTACTGTTTCAAAAAATTCTTAACGGTTGCACTTTTGATGAAGATTCAAGATGTCCTAAACTCCTTCATGGACGTTGATGGAGGGTGAAGTTGTCCGTGTGCCTGCCAACCCCATGGTGCAGCTGGAGTTACTGTCGACACTGGAGGTGGCCGTACTGGTGAGCAGCCCCCAGGGCTGCTTAGGGCATGCGTTCCGTCGAGTGGAACTAGAACTAAAAGTCCCCTCTAATACATTTTATACCTTAAAAATAACATATAAAAACTTTGTACTTAGGGTAGGACGTGGTATGCTTTTGCGGCGTGGTCCCATCGTAGATCCTTTACTCTTCTATTCTTAGTAATGCTGTTTCATGAAAGGAAAAAATGCGAAGCAGACTGTGTTAGAATAGCATCCATTAATTCAGATACTACATCTGTAGTGCTAATACCATTTTTAATTTTTACGTGAAATGTTTTGATGAAGTCGGTGCAGTTTTGCTCAGCAACCACAATATGATGCTTTAAGGCTCGTTATAGAATTACAGTTGGTTTTTAAAACCAATTAACTGTAACAAGGACATAATCTTTTTAATGCAAAACTCCTCACTGTAATATAAAATAACTGCATGTAAAATTGTCATAATCAGATAATTTTAGCTAAAATATGTATTAACTGTGTGAAACTAAACAGAAGCTAATTTTTGAATCAGTGAAATTCATCTATGGCTTATCCAATTTAAACCTTTTTATTATAAAAATGGATATTACAATTGATATTTCTGACAAGTTTTTGCCGAGTGTGAATTTCAACAGCTACCTCTCCTACATGGAAAACTAGTTTAAGACCATTAACTATATTTGCAGTGCTGCCCATTGCTATAAAAAGAGTTAGACTTTAATGAATACTGGCTGACCCTCCAAATGTTCCCCTTCCAGTTGGATTCTTACTCATTATGTTTCTGAAATAACATGTAACCTGAAAGTGAGGGAATGCCCTTAAAATAATACAGAGGCAACTTATGCTTCATACAATGCACAAGCTGAGCAGCCTGTTATAAAAGGAGCAGCCCAGGAAACTGCTGCTTGTGTACACCGTGCCGTTTGTAACCTTCTCGTTTGTCAAGATAAACATAATATAAATCTTCCACGATGTTCACTGTACACAGCTAGGCGTATTTACTTTGCTGTAAGTCATTCCTTAAAAAAAAAAAGTAAAAAGGCGCTTTTTTTGTGTGTAGCAGTGCTATACGTGCCCCAAAGGGAATAGGTTTATGCCTCCCTAGGCTGCAAAGCCTATAGTCAAGAGGTATTAAATTAGTTTAGTCGCAGGTTTTAAAAAGGGAGAAGTTTTATATTTCTGCAGTAAAAGATGACAGTGGAAAAGAGTGTTCCTGTGCATCACCATGTATTAGATCTTTTCAGCTGACTAGTGTGCTACAACTTGTAGAAACTGTCTTCTGCAGAGCTTCGCTGGTGCTACCTGTGCAGTTTGTGATGATGCAAGACCTGTACAGTGTTACAGATGTAGAGAGAAAAGCTGAAGTCAGCAGGTGCCCATGGTTTTTAGTGCCACAGGGTCGAGAGAGCCGGTTTTAGACACCTAGAGCCGGTCTGAATGTGGGTTTGCCATCTCCAGTAGAAATTTTGGTAGCTCAGTACTTCTGAAAATCAGACCCCCCAAATAAGGATGTTTGGGACTGCAAGTAAATGCAAGAATTTGTGGTTTGTTGATGACTGGGAGACAACTTATAAATATTTTTGCTAATTGGAATTTGTTAAAGCCATTATAAAATAAGATGTTGTAATTGCCTTTAAATAAACCGGTAAGATATACTTTCTTTGCCTTCAGTTAGGAATAAAACACTCAAATTCAGTATATCTTTCTTTTGGATCGCCTCTGTCATTTCTATCAGAGGTCATCCTGGTTCTACTCAGTGTGAATAAACAAGTTCTAATTTGTTTATGGAAGTTATGAGTGTGTTTTTAATTATTTATTGGGATTTCTTCTATGGGTTCAGGAGGTTATAAAGCTGCTTCTATGAAAGATGAAGACTTTTACCCCAGGCAAGTTGAGTGAGAGCAGCTGTAATGTGATCTTCTTAGCAGTGCCTTGCTGACTAGCATCTCTCCCTTTCTGGGAGTAACAGTAATTTATACTATTAGTGTAATTTATTTTTTACTTTTTTCCCCTAAAGATAAACTGGCAGTTTCAGTCACTTTATGATATGCAGTGGTGGTAAAACGTAATCTGAAACTAGACAACAATACAGTGGAAAGAGTGTTAGCATGGGTCAGCCTGAGTACAAAGAGAAATGGAGCATGCATAGAGCTGTCTGGCATAACTGCTTCTGTGTTACTGCTCTCTTTTTATTTATGCAGCCCCACAATATGCCCTCACAGTGTTTGTGGCACACTTTAAATGATAAATGTAGAAGAGGTGGAATTTAATTTGTCTGGTGCTCCAGAAGTCTTGTATATGCTGTTTTAAACCAGTATGTAGTGTGCCATTATGTCTGTTTATAACAGAAAACAACCAAAACATGTGTTCTCAAAAATTATGCACAAATTTGATAATTGGTTTTGGTTAACTTTTTAAGTAGGTTTCTTAGTACCAAAAAGCAGATGAAATATAGACCTCCATATGTTTCATAATCTTGGAACTTGAAGGAATTCAAGATCTTCAATTGCAGTATCATGTAAACTTTAAGATTATTTTTAACTGGCTGTAATATACTTATATTAAGCTGCACCATCCATAAGTGCCTGGATTGTATAGGATGATTTGAGCCCTATCATGCTTGGTGGTGATTCACAACACTCTCTGCAACGTTAAGCTCCTAAATTTATAGTCCAGTAAAATCAATAAGACTATTTGCTTGACTGAAACCCCTGGTGTTTGCAGAAATGGAGTTTCAGTCTTGCAACAGGATCCAAGCAGGGTTCAGAGGCTTTGGGGGGGCCCCGTGGCTTCTGTGGTCCCCCAAAACAGGCGCTGGCACGCAGGCAGCTGAAGGAGCATGTGTTTGTGTGCTGGATGCTGTGCCGTAAAACTAAGGACGACAGATCAAAGATTTGAACACGAGGTCAGATAGATTTTGAAAACTTAATCAGCTTAAATTTGCTTCAGAACTCAGCTTCGTAATATTCTGTCCCCCTAAGAAAATATTTTTCTTAGACACCTGTCCTCAAATTTTAGAGCCAAGAACGCGAGAGCGCTTAGCAGTTCATCTGAGGACAGCATTTTGAGGCTGGGCTATCAGTATAATACCACGGCACTTTGCAAGTAAAACATAGATCAGAACTGTGTCCTGAAATTAAATTGAATTTATTTTTTAATTATTGTTGTTATCGAATAATTGCTGAAATTAAATTATTTGAGGAAAAAACCTTAAGAGGTATTTTTTCCCCAGAATTGTAGAAATATTTGCTTATTGGATTCCAATTAGAGAAATATTTGCTTATTGGATTCCAATATGACAAAGCAGCCTTGTTTTCAGTTTGTTTTATTCTTCATCTTTGACTTGTGGGATAAAAAAAAAAAAAAAAAAAAAGCTAGGAAAGGGAAGGAGCAGTACGTCCAAGAGCTCCCGGTTGGTTCAGCTGCGCGCTGCGTCGATTTTCAGTGTAATCACCACCTTTAAATAGGAAGAGACGTGCAATGGGACAAAAGGCAGTTGCAGACACCAAGCCAAGACATGAAGTTGTGTCCTCCATGTCGCGTTGTACCCTGGCAGCCTGTGCCTGGGGCTTTCTCCTTGCCTTTTCCCTCCGTTCAGAAACAAAGTCACCCTGATAAACTCATGTGCGTGTTGCCTCCTTTCCCTGCCACGCACACACTCACTCACTCTTTTTTTTTTTTTTTTTTTTTTTTAATCCGCAGAAGTCTTTATGTTTTTCTAATAATTGGCAGCAGAGGTACAGTTTCTCCCCTCTTTTAAGTGATGAATAGTTGGCCCGAGATCAAAGGCAAGCCCTTGCGGTTTTTTGGCTGCCACAAAAGGGCGTTGGAGTTGGCACGGGTCCCAGCCGCTCAGCGATAGGCATGCGGATGAGGTGCCAAGCGGAGGGGTCGGTGGCAAAGTGTCTGTACACGTTCTTCGTCTGAGCTAATCTGGTTGCCTTTTGTGTGTGTTTCAGGCAAACAGCCGGCTGAAGCAGGCTGAGAAGGAGTACAGTCAGAAGCTGGCTAAATCCTCGCAGGTAGGTAGCGAGAAGGCAGGAACCTCAGGTGACGCCATTTGATGAAAAGTGTAATTACTTCTGCTCTTAAGCAGAGGTCTTGATGAGAAGAGAAGCCGTAACCGTTTCCCAAATCAAACATCCAGTGTCTTTCTTGCAGTTTTTAACCTTTCAAAAACCACAGAGCATTCAGCTGACTAGAAGAAATGGGTGGGGAGTTTTTTCAGTTCTAAATTTCATCTTTTGTATCTACTTTTATCATCTCCCGAGGACCCAAGAGGACCAAGTCCTCCCTCAGTCGGTGGGAAGGGAAGGCGAGGTGCCCCGTCAACCAGCACAGCTCGTAAAATCAGGAGCAGTTGCACAACCAGGACTTGCATTTCATGTCACGAGGCGGTGTTTGCCCACACAGCCGATGGCAGGATGGCGGTCCCAACTGTGCCATCTTGGTGTTTATCGTTGCTCCTAGCCAGTTCAACATTTCTGCCCAAAATAACACCCTGAAGAATGTCAGTGTCCTGAAAGCAAACTGGTGTTGACTTGAGTTTTTGTTCTTCAGAGTAGTCTTTTGAACATGGAAGATGAGAATGTGTGTTGAATTTACATGGATGCTTAAAAATGATAAGATGGGACAATTTTTAAATATTTCAGCTTTCAGTTTGATTGACAGGTAGTACTGAAGTGTGAAAAATGATGGAGATGCAACCAGAAGTTAAGCTTTTAATAATAAGAAAATTGCCACGAGGATTTATGTGGAGGTGTCATTCTTCTCATTCCTCCCAACCACAGCAGAATGCCTGCCTTTTACTTGCAAAGTGCCTTTTCAGCAATAGTAATAACTGTGTAATAATACTCTTAAAAATCAATACAAACACTACAAGGAATGGTTTAGAAGCCTCCAAACTAGGCAGAGATGGTCAGTGAGATGATGACAAGAACTTGCGAACTTTATTACAAGCACTTTAAAATATTTTAAGCTCCTGATTTCAGCTTTTCAGCTACCATTGGGTCTCACTGTCTGTAAAGCTTGTCCAAAATTTTGGCTTTAGTTATTTCAGTGAAATTTCATTGGACTAGCACAGTTTTTTGCACCGCATTTTTTGAGACTCCATTTGTCAGAATCATTGTTAAATGTATTTTTACATTATATTTCTGAAACCTAATGTGTATTTCCTGCACAGTTGTTTGCATACAGAGAGGTTGTGGCATCTCCATCCTTGGAGATACTCAAAACCTGACGGGACATGATCCTGAGCAACCTGCTCTGGATGACCCTGCTTTGAGCTGGTCCCTTCCACCCTCACCAATTCCGCAGAATAAATCAGAGAGAGTGCTCTCCTAAATGCCTTTTTAGTAATTTTTTGAGAGCCTTATTTATAAAGAAAGAAAGAAGCAACAATAACAAAAGAAGCCCTGTTTTTTTATCTTGCCATCTGAACCTGAATAGCAGAAAATTGATAAAGCTCAAAAAGTAACATTTAATGCATACCAGACCTTAAGGAAGAGATCCCTTTCATTGCTAACTCTATTTTACCTTTTGTCATTGTCATTTTTATGCTATTGTCATGCCTAGTGAGTGTAATCAAAAGTCAGTCTTTCTATGCCAGACATAGTTTACTGTCAGAACAAAAATGTGTCTTGGTCCATTCGTTAAAAACTGGTGGAATACTTTAAGCATTTCTGAATTTTTAAATAAGGGGTGAGGGAAATTGCTTTAATTGTTACAGTGGGAACACCGAGGTAGTGTAGTGCAAGATAATAACTATTTAACCTGGATGTCATAATAAATTCTGTCAGACTGAAATCTATTAGCCTGTAGAATAGTCTCAAAATAGAAAAATTCTGAGACTTTTTTTTTAAGCTAAGCATTGCTGTAGCTAATACACTGTTCTCTTTACTAGGGAGGGATGAACCCAATGACCAGAACTGGCATTCCTCTGCGCTTTCTGTGGCAGACAGAACACATACATCATATGTCAGGGCTATTTGGCACAATAAAGGAGTTTCACCCTGATGTCTGAATTTCTTTACTTTTGTGGGTTTGAATCAAATCCCTAAAGTTACTTGAACATTGGGGTTTTTTGTAGATCAGTATTAATAATAGGTCAATTGCAACTTTTCTTGTGGTCGTGTTGCTGACAACATCTGTCTAATCTTACTCTCTGTGGCCTCTTGGAACATTCACTTTTAACACCCACACAGAGAAGATATTTCAAGAAATTTCCTCTGAAGTTTATACAAAGTAAACAGATTCTTTTCTCTGAAAAGTACTGTACAAAGCAGATCTTTCTCCATCGATTCATGCTGAAATTTCCTTGTATGCATTTCAGAACTCCTATGCTAGTCCAGGGTCTCTTACCCAGTAAAAGCTTTAAATTTCACTTTTGTGTTCTATTAAAGGGCTTGTTATTTTGTTTTCTTTTTAAAAAGTGACAAAATGGAACATATGCAAAGTGGTAGAGGTTTGCATGGCTTCAAGTTGTTATCTTACTAATGTGTATGATCCATCGCTTTCTCTTGCTTTCTCGCTGCATGTGTTACACACCTAGCAAAGCCAAATTTGTGCAAATTGTGTGTCATCTAAACGATGATCTGAATTGCAAAACCAGTGATACTGCTTAATTCTGCCTAAAGAGTTTCACCTATCCAGATAATCTCTAAACTTTGGCCCATTGATCTCATTAAGAGCAAATAGCCTTCTTTTTGACTGGTATATTATCTTTTTAAATATGTATTTGTTTTTAGAAAAGAAATACAGAAATATCTGTGTAGGTTTTACTCATAATCTTTGTTACTCTCTGGGGTTTTCAGGTAGTAAAATAGATAAATAAATTTAGAGTAGAGTTTTAATCAGTCCTTTTCCCCTTCCCCAGTGATTCTGGTACTTTCATTTGTAGAGTATTTCTTATTATGTTAGTCCTAGCCTATTAGCAGTTCTAAAAAACCCCCATTTTTTCCTAAATAACTGTGATGTTAATAGAGTTAAATGTTTCTCTGCCAATCAGGAGGCCATGCAAACACACAAGTCTGAGCACTCTGGTAGTCTCTCCCTGAACTCCCTGTGCGCTGAAGTGCTTTTAGACCTGGACTATATTATGCTGCTGCAGCAGCTTAACCTTAAGCTTGAATATATACATTGAAGTCAGTGACTCTCCCATATGTTTAAGTGCTTTGCTGGGCGATGACTTACATGTCAGCATAAAATTCTGTAAACATGCCTGAAGGATCAGGTTTAGTTATGACTTTCCACAGTGATAAAAAAGGTGAAACAAGTACATTTCAACAAATCACGAGCGAATCATGTAAAAGGTCTAGTTTAAGGGTCCTGGACATTGAATCAGGTCCCTGCTGATTTGTAAGCAGAATATGCTTCTTTCAGCAGCTCAGCAATTTCACTATCAAGTTTAAATTTCAGTCCCGTATGTAAATTTGGGGTTTTTTCTCTCTGCAGTATCAAACTATAAAGCATCCTTCTAGAAAATGAACACCACCATCACTATGTAAATTTGCAGTACTGGTTCCAGTGCAGTGGAAGACTGGAGACATGCTCTATTTTGAAGATCACAGATGTGCTTTGTTCTCATGAGTAAATATTTTGGAATGTCATAGTGGAAAACCCTTCCAAATATTTTGTGTTCAGCAATTTTTGTCATTCGCAGCCTTACTATATTCCTTTTCTCCGCGTGGAATTTCACGCTTGCCAGTGTGTAATTTGCTAATTTCAAATATTTAGCTTGCACAGCAGAGTTTGCCAATGCCATGCGTGTACTGACCATAAAAACATGCAAAATACATGCCTTTTACTGAAGAGAGATTTAGCATGCTGTTTTCTTTTTAGATCATAGCTGAACTTAAGACAACCATTTCCTCTCTGACAGAGGAGAACAGCCGGCAGCAGCTTGCCACCGAGCAGCGGCTCCAGGAAGTTGTACACAAGTTTGAAGATAAGAAGCAGCAGCTGATTACAGATAATGACAGAGCAATCAAGGTAATCTGGGGATTTTAGTCACTGATGCTACTGGCTGTTTGAGTGTAATTAAAAGTTCCGCAGTGGGCAGATGAATGCAGGTATCGTTCTTGTTCACACAGCGCTCGCTAATTCCATTCACTGGACCTTGACTTTGATGTAGCTGATGACTCAGGCTCTCCTTCCTCTGGCTGCTCATATGCCTGTATAAAACGTTTGGGTTTGGCGAGTCTAATCCATCCACTTCAGTCAAATACTTGAAACTTTCCTGTTCTTTCTTTTAATACTGACTCAGATATTTTAATGTATTTTCAGCACTTTTATGCAGTGCTTTCGGTACTTGAAAAAAAAGGTGAAAAGTAGGAGAGCTGAGTTGCAGCACCTGAGAGCCAGCAGTATGGCACGGGCTGTGGCTTGGTTTTCACAAGACATTCTCAACTTTCATGTTTAAGGAAAGTATGTTCTTAAGTTCCATTGAAAACTATATGCAAAAATCTGTGCTAAATATGAATGGAATAAAGTATTTTTTATTTGTAACTTTTTTTCCTACATATTTTGCATCGGAGTTGCATTCTCTGGCCTTTTTCAAAGAAGCTTTAATAGACTATGGGTTCTGAATATTCAAACTCTGTTCCTTGCTGCTTTGACACCTCGATTCAAAGCGACTGCAGAGAATCCCACCTGCAGAAGAAAGCAGAATTATTTCTGAAAGCATTTTTCCTTTCAGAGTAGTAGAGAGCAATGGAAAAATTTTGAAACGATGTAATCTGCTAGGGTTGACAACGAAAACACTTCATTAAAAGTTGTATAGAAGAAGGAAATTCCTTTTTTTCTTCGTAAAGACGTTTACTAGTACAAAACAAAGAATTACATTGTTAAATCTAGAAACTCATGAAAAAATGAACTCCTACAGTTTTTCTAACTTTTTGTGCTGAAAAGAAACCATGGGAGTTTTTACATGTTAGAACCATCTGATGTTCAATTATGGTACAGTTAATGTTGTCCTCTATACTTGAATGATTTGCATAATGAAATTAGGTTGACATTATTATCTCATCATCTGCAGAGTGTTCTTTTTCCTTTCTTTCATAAATTCTTTAATGATTGGGGTTTTTTTCCTTAAGGAAAATGTCTGCCTTTATTTGTGTGTTTGTTGAGGAACGGAATCTTCTTTCCAATCATTCTTTAGTCTCTTCTGTCAAAGGTATAACCAGAAAAATGTTGGCTATAATCTGTTACCCAAATTGAATCACCAGGGGTAGTTTTTATAATCACTGAGGTCTGCAAATAGAAGGTAGTTAAATCACGTTATTTTGGGGTACAGGTGGATTTTTGCCACTTAGGAAAATGTGCTATTTGTAGTTCTCCACTTTTCTAGTGGCCGTCTAGATATAGAGAAACCCTGTGACAGTGGAATAGTCTTCCATATGGTCAGAAATATGCTGTAATTCAAGTTATCATGCATGATACCTTCTTGAGTTATATATTTGACAAACATGTTTTAGACTGTTTACCAGCTTTTTTCTTAGCACCTGGTGCAAATGCTAGTGTTGAATTTATGGATTTACTTAAACTATGTTCAGTGGAAATAATTTGGCTGTTGGTAACAACAGTTTTTGAACACTAATGATTATAGGTTGTATGAAATCCTTCTCCATGTAAATCTGTGTTGAGCTATTGTAAACTTAATTTTGATGTCATTACCTCACAATGTAGTGAAATACATAAAAACCACGGGGGAATTCTGCAGAGGGTTTCTGAGCAGCATCCCAGAGAGTTTTTAGCACTGGTGCTGCAAGTATCTTTTGTATGAGTTGGTCAGCTTGGGGAAGAAATTGCAGGAGCTGTTATGCTTGAAGTTCTTGAACTTCATTTAGTATCATTAATATTGTAGTTTTAAAAAAGTCTTCCTTTGAAATCACTGATTTAATGGAAATTTACTGAAAGCCAGATATCCAAACAGAAAATTCTTAGGAAGGTGAACTGCTGTGTATACTTCTGGAAACAGAAAGAGGTGGTTTTAATATTTAATCACTGAGTATTTTTAAGAACCACGCATACTTCTAGATGAGCATATGCAGGAATACTTTGCTTTTTGTTAGCCTGGGGCAAAAAAAAATTTGGTGAAAGTGGAATCCTAGATGTCCTGGAGATGGGGAACATCCAACCTAGGGCAAGCTGAAGACCTTCAAGGGATTATTAAAGAAACATTCTAAAAACAAAGCAATTCTTAATATAGCATAAGCCTTTGAGAAGACTTAATATAGTATAAGCTATTAAAAAGACTATCATTAAAAAATGGGCATTTGCTAAATATAACATTGATTTAAACTAACATTGAGGAACAGATTGCAATTTCCTTTATATGGTATTGGGTGACTTCCTGTAAGACCTTCCAATTATTATTTCCTTTCAAAGGGAGAAATACATTTTTACAGAAACCAACTGGCTCTCAGAGAAGCTTTGGATTTAGTCACTAAAGTGATATCCAGATGTGGATGCCATAATAGATGATTTTGATGTTAATTCAAATTCCTGACTCTCTTTGCTAAAGATTTCTAAGTTGTTATTATTTCGGAATTCTATCTATCTCCTTAATCTTGATTATTTTTTAAAATAGTATCTTAAACATTAGTGAAAAAGAATAAATGAAACTTTTAAGAACATTTCCCTTCTTTTGATAACCTAAAACCCCAGTCTGCACAACCCTTTTTGGCTTCAGATGGCCTCAGTTTGGGCCCGTTTGAGACAAGTGCTTAAAGCACTTGGCATTCTGTGTTACACCGTGATTTGTCTGGCCCAAGGGCGAGTCAAACTTTGTGCCATCAGAGTCATAAAATCAGGATAAAATTTTGGCTCATCACATTCCTTTCTCGTGGCTTATAAGGTAACCAATTCGGATGCCATGGCGTCGCGAAGTCTAATAGCAAAGACCTCGGCAGCAGCGCTCTGACAAGGCATTGAACAACTGAGCGGCTCCCGTCGCTGCCGTTCCGCTGCTGTTGAGTTTGAGCCTGTTGGGATTACGACAGTGTTGGCACAGAGAGCGATCCCAAAAGCACAGCTCACCCTTCAGTGCCGCATAGATATCTTTGCTTTGAACTTACCAGGACTTGTATTCTTTGGAGCAGAGTACAAGGACACTGCAATTGGCCTGGCATGGGGCAAATCCAGCAAAGCTCACCTGGTCCCTCTGCCGTGCCTCGCCTGTGATGTGCTTACACTTCAAAGATCAGGAACCATTGGTTTAGACCATAGGATTAGCTGAGAGCACAATTATATTAATGCCCTGCAGGTGCTTGGAAAAGCAGCTTAAATTGCCATTTCTGTTAACCCATTTGTGATGCTTCAGACCGGGATTTCGGAAGGCACCCTCCAGTAAGGGTTTGGGTGCTGAACTCCTGAGAATGTCTATGCAGGAGCTACGCTGGTCATTGAAGTGTAGTGTAAACTTATTAAGGCTAAATTTAAACTAGCTTTCTTGCATCCCGATAGCAATCTAGCCACAACAACCCGAAGCTCAATACAGTCAAACGGTCAGAGCATTTACCTAACTTTGCTGCTGCTTTTGGCAGTGGTTACTGGCTGGACTTGGCACTAGCATAAAGTTGATTGCATTGTAGAGATACCTTGAGGTTATTTATGAAATCCCAGCCTTAGTTTTTTTTTATGAAATCCTTTTGGATTCTGGGATTGAAAGTGCAAAACAGTTCCTGGGATTGGAACTGCAAAACATGTTCAGAGCATTTTAATGTAGAAGTTGATGGCCAAGTGGGGACTCCACATCAAAAAGTAGATTCTGGAAAGAAATGGATGATGGAGAGCACACAGTGACAAACCCACAACAGAAAAGGGAGAAAATGGTGCTTTTTTGCCAGCGGAACCACATTTGTTGTTTGGCTCATGTTACAGATTCTAGGATTCTGTTTTATCCCCTGAATTAACACCAACATTTCATTAGCAAAACATGGTTTGAAGATGACATATTTCAACACTTTGTGTGTCAGCCAGCTTATGATCAGATTAATTCTGTTAATAAATAAAACTTAAAAGATTTCTAGGAAAGAATGCCATAAAATAGTGTTCCCCTTCGTGTGAAAAATTTTGAAACAGTTGGTTTTCTTTGTTATGTTTAAAAATGTTGAGAGGGGAAAAAAAATCAAAAGTGTATTTTATAGCCATAGCAGAACAAAGGAGAAAACTTCTGGTTTTAAATTGTCTGGGCCTATGTGGGCATTGAGTATTCTCAACATCATCATATATTTGTTAGATGCTGTTGTATCTTGGAGCAAAAAGATAATTTCCTCTATGCAAAGTTTGGACTGAGGGTTTTATCAACACAGTGAAATTTTTCAACGCGACTATAACAAAATACTTAGGCTGCCAGAGTTATGCTTGAGTCAGTCCTTGTGTGGGCTACTCTGTTTCCTTTTATTCTGGAATACTGTCTCCACAGGTAGGGTTTACACTGATATCACCCTACCCGTCTGCCACCCAGCCCACCTCTCCGGGCTGCCCGTGTCCCACTGCACCAGGGCAATGTGCCCGGCCGTGTGTCCTTCTGGTTTGATTCGCATAATCGCCCCTCCCTTTCATGTTTGGTTCCCGCTAAAAGTAAAACAACTTATTTTAAACCTTGGGATGTTTTAAAGCATTCAGAACATTTCTTTAAGGGCACCTGATATCTTTGTTTCCAGAAAGTAGCTGTCAAAATATACTGATGGTATTTACAAATGTCTCTAAAATGCAGTGTTTCAGAAAAACTGTGGTTTTAAAAATCCTGTGAACAAGCTAATTTTGTGTGTAGTTATTTTTTATTATCAACCATGTTTATTAGCAAATTCCACTTGTAATTCAAATAATATTTTGTATTAAAAGAAAAAGCATGTTAGAACTATGGGAACATTAACTGAGTGACTGTAGTCCTGCCGAAGTATTTAGTCTATTGTCCTCAAAATACCTTTTGGGATACCACCATTGTATTCTGCAATAGCCAATGTTGGGTTTAGTAAGAAATAAAT